ATGACACTGGAGAGCTTGTAGTTGATGATGGGGCCTCCCTTTTAATCTCTCACTCTCCACAGTCCATACCTCTCATAACTTCATTAGTAACGTTGCTTATCTCTCTTGATTAAAATAATGTACTAACTGAATTTTTGTCTAGTTGTTTCCATGTTAAGGAGATTTCCTCGATGAAAATTCTCATGCATGACGCGAACCAACCACGAGATCTATGCATCGTGTCCCCCCATTCCGACTGTCAACTCTACCATCACAGTTACAATACATGATATGATTGACACTGTTGTAAGGTTCATATGATTTGAGTTTGACTCGGCTTTTATATAGTTGTATAAATTTGAGTTCTTTCTTACAAGATCATATCAAATTAGAAAGAAAACCATGTGGAGTGAAGATTCAATTATATAAGAGAATCCAGGTTCTTATAAGTCATTTTATCTGTAACCAACAAGTTTTGAGTTCTTATACAACTTTGATTCTGACTTCGTTTCAAATATTTTTAGACTTATATATTCACGTTGAAAATCAAACGAAACCCATAAAAAGGAGGTCCTTGTAAGTGACTACCATCATAAGTAGGGGTGCTCAAATAACGGCCAAGGCAACCAAAAAAAACCCTGAAAAATATCAACCCAAGCTAATCCGACGTATAATCGATACAAATTAGGGCAAACCGAATTGGGTTGAAATTGAGTTAGGCCCAAAGTAACCCGACCAACCTGATAACTCAATGAAAGTTTTAGCGGCTTCTCTAAAATTATTTGTATTTTTTTTTATTAACCTGGATATCCAACCCGCTATTCGAGCCGACTAATCCCAGGGTGACCACTTGCTTTGCAGATAGCTCAGAGTCACCGAAATTGAACCTTCGTAGCCACAAAGGGGTTTTTATTTCTTCTTAGATTTGAACCTGGAACCTCCTGATACTTTTGACCTTTGGAGTCAAGCTCAAACCAATCAGGCACCACTCTTGTGATTAGTATTTCTCTTTAATATGTATATGTTACCAAAAATGACTCGGCAACAACAAGCAATTGAATTCATAAGAGGACATTATTTGAAAGCTATATGTGATACATAAATATTTGATAAACTCGTATATTCTTTTGAATGATCGTACTTTAAATGAAGGTTTTCTTTATATTTATGTTCCCAATGTTGATTTTATTTTGTTTAAACACTACCCGACCAAATCGAATGAGTTGTGTTGGGATGGATTGAAAAATTTTAAATCGTCAATATTGGGTTGAGTTATTCATACGCTTTCAACCCGATCAACCTAACACATGAACACCCCTGTTAATAAGATTTTATAAAGAATCAATTTATTGAGTTGCTAATGCTATAATACATGCTCTAAAAACTACAATCGGTAGTTGAGTAATACTTGTAAGCTTGGTTATTGTATATGTCACACAAATACACACACACGCGAACTCAATGCTTTTTCGAACATCGTGCCTGTAAATATATATATATATATATATATATATATATATATATAATATAGATGAATGATCAAATACAAACCATTCAACTTGTACAAATTGTACAAACCTTCCTCATTCGTCAATTTTATTGTTTAATCTTATGAAATTTTTTCCTGAAATTGTTTAATCTTGTGAAATTGTTTCATATAATACTTTTTTTTGATGAAGTTGTTTTATATATGGTTATGAAATTGTTTCATATAATACTTTTTTTTGATGAAGTTGTT